TTATAGATTTTCTCTAATAAAAAGTAAAAGATATCCTGCAAAAGAATTTGTGTATCGCGTATTAATATTTGCGATCTAAATTTGATTTATTTTACTCATTTATTCTATTTCTCGAAACCGCCAGCGATAAGTTAATATTGGTATACGTTTCAAGACGTTTCAAGAAAAATCACAGATCTCGTAACAGCGTCTCGTTGAACGTAAACCCGACGGACGTGAAACGCGAAAAAACGTTCGTCTCCTCGCTATTACAGATCTCGCTTACAGCCTCGCTCCGCGCTCCTCGACGGAGGTAGGAAATATTGCGAAGAAATTGTTTGCGAAACCTTGACATTCTTTTAATTCCTCATCGATCCTCCATAAGGACCGCCCTCGCGGAGTTTTCTTGCGAGAGAGTTGCTCCGCCGTCGGTCTCAGCTGCACGGGATATATAAAAATTCAGTGGAGGAGTTCCAATCGTGTCGTGCACAGCCATCCTCTCTACAATACATGAGCTAATGTCGGAAGTGTATACAACGTCTCAATAGAAAGTTTCAGCCAAGGTGTAGGCGAACGCGACGAGGTATCAAATCGGCATCGGGCGAAACAAGGCAGTTTATTTCGCAATCTAGAAAAGAGTAGAAAACGTGCGGAGATTCTCGGCTCGCGCGAGAAAATGCATCGCTTGAATAATCGTTCCATCGAGTCCGCCCACGCGGACAAAGAGTTTTTCTTGCGAGAGAGAACCACGCGTGAATGACATTACTTATAGTAATGCTGCGGATGCAATAATTAATTTAAAAAACAAGTGACGTTGGCGTTTTAAGCTTTCAAAGAGTGGCAATCATTGTTGATGCAGCCTCCATCTTCAGCTAACATTATACAACAAACTTTGTAGAATTCCATGAAATAATAAAAGTGAATACAAATAAATAAAAATAAATAAATGTCAACATAAAATAAATAAAAAATATATTAAAATTTCTTAAATTAATAACAAAGTTTTCTCTTTCCTTTTTGTCTACTAAGACTTGTTAGTATAAATATTATTGTTAGTAAGAATGAAATTCTATAAAATTTTAAAAGAAAATACGCGCGTTACATCAGAAAAAATATACAAGAGTAATGAAAAAATATGTTGTTGTATACTTACTCTCAAGTTCCGAGACAAATTCAGAGAAAAAAATGCTTGAAGTATTTTTCCGTAGCAAAATATTTCTAACTCTTACAGTTACGGTCAACGAGAGAAAGTTTGAAACGTCTCGTTAACGTAAACATCTTGTGAGAGGTAAGAAATGTAATGCGAAAAGTTATATAAGAACATATCCCCCGACTTTTTCTGCTATACTTGACTTATGATCGATTACGCCGTGCAAAACTGAAACTATCGCGACGTCTTGGAAGGTACAACAGACAAGACCGTCACCAGCAAGATCGAAAAGTGTGCAGTGTCGTCGCAAATTAATTTCTAAATAGACGGGGAAACAAATGTTGCTCTTGGTAATCCGAAAAAATTGGTATTCAAAAGCTGAAATATTCAAAATTAAAGGCTCAAAAATATAAAAATTGATGATGAGATCAGTGATACAAGAATATTCGGAAGTACCGTTATTAATAATTTACACCATATAAAATTGTAAATATGGAAGTAAAACTGTTCCAGTTTGCATGCATTTTAGTTTCGCTGTGCCGAATAATCCCGACGTTCAAAGGAGAGAGAAAAGTTTCAAGCACTGTGTAAAGACCACAAAGGAGATTTGGAGGGACCCGCCGTCTTTTCTCCTTCACCTTCATTGTCGGAGCTCCCAACTTATGGAAATAAATTGATGGCAAGAAGTAAAGTTATACCGAGCTATCAGCAGCTTTTGGAAGGAACAAAGATAAGAAACCACCGTCAGGCTTTGCGAGCGTGAAAAAGTAGCGTGAGCGAGAAGATGGCAACATGAAAATTCGGTCAACGATGATCATTATTCGACTTAACAATATTATCTTACTTTTTTCCGGGCTATTTTATCTCCTTTTAAAACAAATTTTTATCTCTTGTCAACTATTCAAACTTGTAATAAAAAAATGTATAACAACGAAAGTTGAGGATTTTGTATATTTTATGCTATATTTTCAATTTATGAAATTTAAATAATAATATCCGTTTCGATGAAAGCACTATAAAATTTATTTTAAATATTCATTGATTAATTGTGAAAATACAAAGAAAGAAATGCTATTTTTTTTATCTCTGGTTTACAGAAATTAATTATCTGTCATAGATACGGGGTAGTTCGTTAAAACTAAAGCTGAGACTTCAAGTATTGCGTGAAGCGGTAAAAAAGAACGAAAGAGAACTGTTCTAAAAATTTAGTCACAAATGACTAATCATCCTCGGTTCCCGTTCGGAAAGACAACAATCTGCTGTATCGCATGTTCTTATATATTATTCCCTTCCTCACGTGGATTTCGTCCGCTCTGACCTGAATATGTCGCTCTGCAAATCACACATATTTGCTAAATCCAAATTTTCCAGCTGTAATTAACGTACATTTAATTAATTGTGAATTTACCCTTTTGAAATATTCGATGAAATATTCGACAAGGAATGACAAGGACACTTTAAAAATCCCTCGAGATTAATCATGATCCGGGATTAATTGCGTTAGTTGCGATATCTCTGAAAAAGACCATTATCAGAATGCAACGTGACCGAGTAATGAAAAACGAATATCACAGACCTCCGGTACCTGACAAAAACGCAGAAAGGAAGGAGGGAGGGAACTGTGCAAACTGGCGGCAGGACCACGAGTTTTCCGGTTCTCCCGAAGGTCAAGACCTCGACCTCCATTCGGTCGTCGGGACGTTTCGCGGGGGATTCTTGCATCGATTTCGGCAGATGAAACTCCACCCAGTCTTTTTAGCGTTCGCGGGAAACAAATTGACCCCCTTGAGAGGGGGAGCTAAACTAGTGATGGCCTCGATCAAGTGTCTCGCGATTGTCGATCAAGCGATCTCTTTTCTCGAATCACAACTATATTTCAATACTACCAGTAATCTCTTATTAATACGAGAAATCTTCCCTAAAATCTTGCACTGTTAAATCATGCTCTATAACATTAATATCTTTAAATCAGAGTAATCAATTTTATTTGAATATAAAAAATAATCTGAAGAGAGATTCTTTTTCTTATAAGTAAAAAGAGATATATATTTTTCAATTTTAAGATATTGCAGTAACGATAAACATCTTAATTATTTTCATATTATCATTTTAGCGGTTGTTTAATATCTTTTTAAGCACTTTTTGTTATTATAATAATTGTATACATTAATGTAGAAACTTTAGTTGTTAATATCGAGCGTGATTGCACCAATCCCATCACTACAGGGATTGTTAGGGATATTGCGAACGCAAGTATCGATAGCGACATCGGGAATTTCGTTTAGAATTCATGCCCCAATTCATAACTGCCTGTGCTTCGTCTCGCGCTGGCCTATTGAATCGTAGATTGAAATCGGTTCGTGCAGCCAGCGCGGGATACGGCCGGCAATTTTGCGGTCGAAATTCGGTTAATAAAATATATCGGCCCGTTCTTCACCGTCGAGAGTTATTCCCACGGACGATGGAGAACTGCCACTATCACTGGCATATCTCGCTACCACGTACGCCCGAGGCAATTAGCGATCATAAACTACTATAATGTACACGATAGTTCATGAAGCAATCTCAATAGAACGCAATAATTGACTGACTCTTCAATTTTTAATATTTCCGTCATAACATCCATTTTCTGATCATCTTTCTTTCAATAAAAAAAGAGACGTACGTAGCTCAGAGATAAATATAAAATATAATTGAAATAAAAACGGAAACAACGCATTATTATATCGTTCTCGAGTTTTCTTTTTGTTACAATCCTACGATACTCGATTATTGTCAGTTTAATTGGCTCAGTTTTTATTGCTGATCATTACGGGATAAACCAAATTTGTGACCGCGAAGTGATGCAGCAGTATAGTCGGGCTCTGACGTACATTCCGCTCCTATTTACGTGTGTAAGCAGCCCTCGGATAGGAATGTAATTTGCATGCTGCCATCGATTTATTCCGAGCCTTACCCCACGCAGTCCTCGAGACTGGGTTCTCCAGTTACACACCTCATTTTCCTTACTCCTCTAGTTCCTCTCTCGTCTAACAGACACTATACGTAAAATCGCGGCACGTGTACGCAGACAGAGAAGCGGTCGAGATGTTCATCGGGTGTGCCGAAATTCGCGGATGGTCCACGAGTCCGGAAAAAAATACTTTTATATTTTCAATGATTCGTATAGCGAAGATTATTAGCCTCGCGATCTTCAGCTTTAGATTATCAAGGCGAACGCTAAGTACAATTTCATGTACGAGGACAGCGAAATATTCAATCTGTGTCTATTTTCAGTCGATGTCGGAACACCCAGCACATGCCATTCGGGAAATACGTGATAGTCATCGAAATCCGGAATCGATCAGACTGCTTTTCCAGCGTGTAATCGGAACATGGCTCGACTGATCGCCAATTCAAATATATCTCTGTTTGATATCGGCCAGAGACTATAATAACACTTTTTTTGACAGAGTAAAAAATGAATTTAGTTACAAACGCAATTTCTGGCATATTGTAATTCTGCCCTACTCTTGCCCTGTAAGATATTTTGCTTGCTAAAAATAATCTGTAACTTTCGAATCGTTCTTTTCGAAAATTATTTATACACATTACACACATTTTTATCTGTCAATATTACGCGAAAAAACGATTTTGCTGAAAAATTTAAAAATTTAAAAATTTTGCTAGATACAGATATGAAAATAATTTTGTTGAAAGCTCAAAAATGATGAGCATTGCTGTAAAACGTTTTGATATTCTCGCAACCAGTTTAAATTTCCAACAAAATTATTTTGATGTGGGTCAACAAAATTATTTTCAGATCTGTATCCAGTAAAATTTTTAGACTTTCCAGTAAAATCGTTCTTTCCGCGTGTAAAAATAAAAATAGCACTCGATAAAGCGAAAAGTTTCTATTTTATTAGACAATTTACGATTTGTCGTATTTTTACGAGACGGCAAATCGTAAATTATCCAATCCAATCCTATAAATTACGAGTGAATGTTGGGAATTTATAAAAAGTATCTCAAAGCGCAGTAATCAATTTCTTAATAAAATTCCTTTCGTTTAATATAAAATCACTTATTAAAATCGTAAAACTTGGAATTCGTCCAAGCTCCGTGTACGGCGATAAATTCAATATTGCAAAAAGAGATAGTTTAATCAGCTCCGACAGTTATATTCACTGCAGATTAGCGTGGAAGTTTTCCACAATGCGCGTACAATTCAACGGTTTTCATTATAACGTACTTCGAGACTCTTAAACGCTTCTTAAATGATTAAACGAGGCGCGCGCTGCTAAGTGTTTTGTTGTCGACTAAGTTATCGTCTTCCATATCTACCGGCTGTGCATAGAGTTATTACGAAAGTTCACTATCTTCGCCAGACACGCAACCGGTCTTCCGCCCGATGCAAGAATTTCCAGAGCGAAGTTACCTCAAAAATCGCGGAGCGTTTATCAGAACGGGCGAACGTGGCGGATAAAAGCTGACGATAATAGGGGCGCTATTGTTCTCTTCCCTGCAAAGCGAGAAGCTTTCGGCAATATGCGGGCAAAACAAGCTGCGCGACGGAAAAGTAATGCGACGAGGAATGCGAAACTGAATATTTCGCGCTTTTTGCGATTATCGTATCTGGATTGCAAATGGTTATCGCGTAAAAGTGTTCGTGCATACACTTCGCAGTTATAAGGAAAAAACACTATAACGCTCGAATAAATGGATACCAGGTATCGATCCGATCTCCGATTCGATCCGTAATTGGTATTCTCGCTTTTTCGGGGAGGATCTTAAAGCGCCTCGCCGGATAGGTAATACGTGCCGCACGCGTTAATTCGAGTGTAAATAATCCGTCTGACAATGAGTTAAATCTCGATTAGGCCGCGGATTGCGCCCGTCGAGAGCTATAGCCCGTTTGTATAAGCGAGGAGTGGGCTCGCTTGAAAAAGATGGTCGCGATTTCGCACGCGAAAATGCGAATGTCACGAGCCATTAATTTCACGCGAGCATTAAGCAAAATAAACGGTCTCGCGCGCGCGCGTAGAAGCGTTTTCTCTCTGGCTCCGTGCGCGCGCGCATACGCGCCGCGTCGCAGTTGGCCAAGAAATAAAAAATAATATTAGATTTACGATTGCCACGCAAACACGCCCGGGCGCGCGGCGCTACGTTCTCGTTCGAATTATTAATTCAACTATAACCTGGCAACGGCGGACAGCGCGAACTGCGGGGCATTACGATACAATTCTTCTTGCGCGGCGAACGTAATGCAATTATGTCAGCGCGGTTTAAATTGGTTTACGCGCTAAAGAAAAACGGTCCACTCTGTATTCGCGGGACGTGTCTTATTGAGCTGGAATCAGTTGGACCGGTGTGTTATTTCGCGACTTGGTACATAGGTATGGTGGATAAAAAAGGGACAAAAATATATTCCGTGCGCTTTAATATATAACGTTTTCCCGCGTCTTTCTCCGGAGAAAAATCTAAAAAAATTTTTCTCTGAAACCCGACTCGATTAAAAACTTCTTTTCACATCTTTCCCTGAAACGGACTCAATTAATATCAACGTTTATATTATTCCATTGTGATTTCGTTATAAATGTAGATAATTATAATAAAAAATCGTCGAGTTTTTTTTTAAATTACAAAGAGTTTCTACAGCGTGACGACGAGTGAAAATATTTGCCGGTATCCTCGGTGATATTATTTTAAGCCCACGATCCCACCGACTCCCCCTAAATTTCCTCTCTCCCTCGCCGCGCGACGCCAACGTATAATGCGCTTGCACTTCGCTTTTTCAAGCAGCACACCCTTTTAGGAACAAAGTGGCCGTGTGTGCCTGGAATGTCCTGCAATGTCCGGAGACGGTGGCTAAACTAAAATAAACGATTATCCGCAGCCGCCGCAAGGACATTCTCGGAGCCCGGAGTAAGGCGATTTTAGAACGACGGATCAGGATTACAGGAGGGAGAAGCAAGTCGCGGAGCAGGTCGGCCTCGTCTCCGAAGGTTCAACGTAACTGTTAACCTATTTTACGCGACTTTCGTCATTCGTACCTACTTCTCCCATGGGAATGCGACGCGGCGTCGGGGAATAAATTTCAGATATAGGCGGGCGATACGCGCGCGACCGATACAGCCGCCGATGGGCGGACATTTACGACCGCCAGCGCGGATATTTTTCCACGTGGACCTGCGGCTTGATTCACGACCGACTCCTCCTCGAATAGATACGTGTGAATTGTATAGGCTCGAGCTCGGAGTCAAACCAGTCGATAGATTGCTTCTGTCTCTTTTTTTTTTATAACTTTCCATCCTCACTGCGATCGCTAGGTTGACGCTATTAATTACAAGTTACGTCAAACGCAAGACTATAATACTTAATTGACAAATAACGATTCTTTATTGATGAATATGTTCGATGCAGAGGGGTCTGCTTTTGCTATTCAGACATAAAATGTCATATCGTAATGGTTGTTGGTTTCTCGAGTTGTTGAAGCACCGCAGATATTGCGTAAATAACAGAAAATAATGCCTATTCAATCGGCGCTAGCCCACAATGTACAACTGTCCGAACAATTTTCTATTGTATTTTGGCGTGCGCCATCACAATAGGAAGATAAAGGTATGTGCTGCCATTGCTATACGTTTTCCTCCGACCGCTATACTATATTTTTCAGTTCACAATCAGTTCGGTTGGCGCTAAGCCACGCCCGTGTCCGACATAGTTTCCGAATTGCCTGCTCTATGCACCACGTTCAATATACATTAATGGATATGGCAATCGGAAAGTAACATTTTCCCGAAATCGCAACCTAAAATCTTGCCCGTTGCAGAGCGCGATAAACAGCGCGCCGGGTTTATTAAGAAAAGTGCATCAGACACTGTGTTTTACTTATGTACATTAATAGACGGCATGTGCAAAAAAAAAAACAACATGGCAAATGCCTCTCTCGCAGGGGGCAATATGTTATAAAAAAAAATCCTGACACGAAATGACCGCAAGATAGATGAGATTGCTGGTAATCTCTTCATCGCATGTCACCAGAGTGATTTATTGTTTCGTTAAACGCGGATATAATATTTAGGTAACGTCACTTACATTTTTTGGCGCGTGTACGCTGCCGCGATTTTCCTCGTAAACGTGCATAATTCAAAAGTGCCTCTACGTAACTGCACTTACCTGAAACAGAAAAAGAGAAAGGTGCAATCAGTTATATGTTCATAAGTGCCGTTATGACGACCGATGACACAATTTTACGTGGAATACAAGTTACACAACAAGGTTATGAGATTTAACAAGGGACGATGTGGAACACGGAATCAATTTTCGAATGTATTTTCAATTTTTCGCATCCCCAGCGCCTCTCGTGCGAAAAACGTGCTTGCAGAATGTGTATGACTATTACATAATGCAACGAAGCTTCATGATGCGCGAGGATACAACATGTAGTTTCAATTTTCAAATTCATATCGCATTTTATTTCCTCCCTATTTTCGATATGGAAGAGGAAATATTGCGTAACCATCATATCTCGCACAATTAAAAATTTCGACTGCAGTCACAAGTTTCGCTCTTATAATTGTTATATTTTCTGAAAATATATTTTATATAATCATTATAATCTTACGACTTTAAGAAATTTATATAGCCATGTTAATTGCATAACAAAATATATGTTATATATATGTTGGTTGCATTAGAAGATGTAATACTCTTGACATGAGTATCGTATCGCTCTGAAATAAAATTAGAAGAATAGATTAAGTATTAATAAAAACGTTTTTATCCCACCAAATGCAAGCTTAAAAAACGAAAGGCCAAGAGGGGTGCAGGGATGAATCACAAAGCACAAGGGTGTTCCTTCCACGGAATTTCGTAATGTCAGCGCCAGTTATGCGGCGATGCATACCAAGAATTTCTAAGCCCGAAAAATAACTACCCTCCAATATCCTCTTCTTGCTCTCTCACTCGCGAGAAGACAGCTGATGCATATTCGCTTCAATCGAGCACTCGACGAAATTCCAGCGATTAAATATCTACGAACTTGAAAGGAATTTCGTCTCTACCGTGAAAGGGATTCCCAAGAAGCTTTGTGCAATATGTATTAATGCGCGATCGTGAGATTTCTCCTCTGATGTGTGCACGAAAGCGCAGTTAATCGAACAGCTGTTTTCTCAGCGCAAAATATGTGGCAAGAATTTAAAAAAAAATTTCTCCTGTCAACAAGTTTTCTTACATAATTCTGTCTGCCAATTTGTCTGATTTTACATATTGCGAAATGTTGAAAACTGTAGAACACAAGTCAGCGTGTAAACATTACAATTCAATAATCTCCGGAAAGGCGAGTTAATTGCTTTCCATTTGCGAAGCTGCGAAGGAAGGAATAATTATTGTCTACGGTCATTGGATCGTCTACTGCTTGGTCGTTAAATTGCTGGCGATTGTTTGCTTCCGCTGTGTATCCTTCTGGCTGAGCTGTATCTAATTGTAAGCGCTACTGCTAGAAGTGGCGCTCGGTTCGACAAGACCAATTAATTACAATTCAAGTAGATAGCAATCGAAGCCATTACAAGTAACACGAATTACAGTATTCGTAGATCAGTAGATACAAGAAAACAACAATTTATCCTAATAGAATCTAAAAACCGCCTTCTTAATTGAATACGAGATTTAATATAAAATAGTGTCAAATGAATTATAATTATATTTACGTAAATGTATTTTCTCTCATTACAGGCATAATTAAAATTTTATTCTAGTTTGTAAATTTAATTACGTTCATATTTATAATGCTTATTTAATAAATGTATATTTATATGTATACCAAATACCTGAAATATCGACCAAATTCTTCAAGTAGAGAAATTACTGACGAGAATTTCATCATTCTTCACGAGAAATTCTCAGATTTCTTCCAAAATAATTACATCCAATTAATCACAGAGAATTTTTGCGAATGCGAATGAATAGAAAGATTGAAACGTACGATCGAGAAAGATTCGGCGTCCGTTATTAATGTCCTAAAATGCAAAATGGTGACGCGAGCAAGCGGGGCGAGCGCGCCGCTGTCACGAGATTTTCTCTCATCGCCCCGGGGGTGCCGATTTTCTCTCGCTTCCCGAGGCGCGAATCCGATCGTTTCTCAGCGGTGCTCCGTCGTCACGTCTTCCCGCGCTCTGAAAGCACCCAGTCGTGAAAGTTCTCGCCGGTGTTTTATTCCCCGGGAATCGCTGACAAGCGAGAAGGGGAGCGAGAAGCGTCGTGACGACGTGGCGGCGGCGGAAGCGCCGTTCCACGTCCCGCGGCGAGGAACGCTTCCTTCTTAGACACGGGGGTTGGCGATCACGTTTTCCAGAAAGCCCGAAAGCTCTTTCCTTCTTTCTTTCCTCCCCTCCCCCCCTCCCTGGTGAGACGCCACCCACATTGCTCCAAGGTTAATTTAATACAAAAGCGACGCGAGATCTTGTATCGAGATTCCCGCGTGCACTTTCTTTCTCCCTCTCGTTTTCTTTTTGGCTCGAGAGTGCCGAAAGCACTCACGACCCACTCGCGAAGTACCGGGCTCTCGGTTGCGGTGTGTTCCGCGGCCCGTCGTTGAGATATATCCTTACTTACTCCACTCTTCCGCCGCGTGTGCATGCGCGCTCCAGCGAGATGTATTGTAGGTATTCATCGCGTTCAGTGCAAAAATTGCCCGCCCGGCACGTTCGCGCGGGGAAAATCTTAAATCAACGTTTACGACATCTCCCGGAGAATGCCGCGGCGCGCATCCGAGACTGCTGCTGCTGCATCGCGTGAAGCGTATTTTGCGAGATAAAACGCGAGCAAGATTATTTTATATCTCAAATTGGTGTTTTGTCATACGAGCTTGCAGGCCAGTTTCTTTTTAAGCGAGAATTTTAGAAATTCTGTTGATTCCAATTTTTTCTCCAAAATACATTCGAAAAACTAAAATTGTCCAATTTCATAAAAAGATATCTTTTTGATGTTTAACGAGTTTAAAAACACATACCTATTTGCGTAACATGTACTTCGCTCTAAATAAATTATATGTAATCATAAAAATTGCGTTTCTAAAAATACCGAGCCCTCTGATGCTCTTTTAATTCTCGCGGCTAATCCCTCTTTTCCTTTCTTTCGCACATTTTATTTTTATTACCCCTTAATCCTTCTAATCTTAAATTAAAACTATCTGGTGTACGTCTATCATAAAATCATTTCACCTTGGAAGCCGGGGATTGGCTTGCCCTTCGAAATAAGACTACTAGCATATGAGATCACGCGAAATTCACTTTAAGCCAATTTTACGAAGATTTTCAGAGAACGATGGCGAATGCAAAGGTTTCTTCGTTGGAGCTTAAGTAGAGAGAGGGAATTCAAACGATGATGGAAGAGATAAATAAATGGATCGGTCGGCTCGTGACACGCGAACGTACCATATATATTCGCGATTAACTAGCGCAGCGGTTGTAAAATTAGTCATCGGCGGTGGATTTCCAATTTCGCGCAAGTTAACGGAGGGATACGCGCGGGAGGACTCGCTCTCAATCGCGATAATGGTTTACGCTATTACCTCTATTACGAACATTGTTGCACGCTCCCTCCTTCCCACCCCGCAAATTCGGTCGCGATTGTTCCACCTAGCGCTGGCTCGTACGAGGCTGCATGTATAGGATTACACGTGTTTCATATCTCAGGATTGGCAAGAGAGACCCAGTTCGTGTTTAAGCGCTATCCGAACCGATATTATGTATATGTATGCGTTTCATCTAGCTCCGGGGCAGGTTGGGAAGTTCACACCCTCCGACGTCTGGGGAGATTCCAGATGCTAAATGCCGCGACGATTCCGCGCTATACAGAACGGGCACGAGTGACAACTTTGCACGCGCCGTACACATTGCTTAACGTAGTTTCCACACATGTGCGGATTTAGAAGTAGAGATGAATGGAGAGGTAAAAGCGGAATAAAAATTCCGCGAAAAGCAATTCTGAATATCTTGCCGTCTCAGTGAGCTCCGCCGCAGAGCACCTCGAAATATTCCCACCGCTAACGAACTAGCGAGCGGGCGAAACAGCCAACTCAATAACCTTCGTAACTTTTACTAAACGTAAACATTACGAACCGCCGCTCGTAGAGATTAATGTCGAGGGTTGGCACTGCCTTCAGCGTCTAGCTCACGGACGATGGTGCAGCATCCGAGGATCGGTATTAGGTTGCGAACGGAGTTACGAGGTCTGCGGAGGCGCGCGCGCGCGCGCTCTGTTTAACTATCGCCCACGTTTTGTGGGCGTGGGATGCAGCCGTGTGCAACTGCGACTTACGTGTGTGTGTGTATGTGTGTGTGTGTAAGTGTGTGTGCAGATCGTGACGATGCAGGAGCGCATTCGTACAAACGCGCTCACACATACCACACATACACACGTATAGAGATACTCATATACGTATAGAGATATTCATATACGTACAGATGATACACGGTTCGTTGCAGCAGCAATTGCACGCGCTGCATGAACGCGATAATCGGAAAGCATTTCGCCATCCGTGAAAAGACAACCTTCCTCCCCTTTGCCCGGCTTATCCGCCCGATCGACCATCCCCCGTGCAGTGGCATGAACTCCCGAAAGTCTAGACAGAGAGATGTGCACCGCGCGCGCTATACGTCGGGGGCGAGATAAACGCCGCAATGATGTATTATATGCTCGGCGTGTATCGCCCCCGTCCGGAGAGGGGAAAATACGGATCTTGCCCGCGAGATTTCGCGAATTATGAGGAGCGCAATGCGCCACGGGCACGTCGGTCGATTCTGGCTCATTCTACTGTAATTGCCCGGAGAATTGTCACAAGTAGTTGAACGACTTATTAATTATCAGATAAGGGCGAAAGGGGAAAGAACTTCTCCGACTGCTCGACGATGAATTACGACTGTCCTCGGTGAATGTTATCCTCGAATGTTAATGAAGACTCGGTGGAGCGTTAAAAAAAAGTTTCGCTGTTTTCGTAGATATGCACAGCTCGTTTCTCAACATCGTCATTTTTACATCCGACTTTTACAGCGTCCGCTAACAAAAAGATTCTCTTTCCCACGGATCTCACGAGTGAGCAGATAAAGGTTTTAAGACTATGAGGAAAAATTATCGGTTAAAAGTGAACAAAATTAAATACGTTTAGCATGTTTCTATCTCCAAATGCCGCAATAATTATGTCGTACGGACACAGAGACGGCGGGAGACCATATTTCCAGGAGCAATAGAGAGATTAATGACAAGAACAATTAGTAATTGATGTTAAGCTCTGCGGATTGTGGTCTGGCGGGCTCTCGTAACCTATTTAGTCGACGGCGCATATGGCGCGCTCGAGATCCTATTAATACACATTCCCGTCGTCGCTGCATCGTTCGCAATTTTTCCCAATTTTCGCGTTAAAATGTTTTATTTAAAAAATGCGATGTTACACGCGCGCGCGGCGATTCGAATCCCGCTATTACCGGGATAAATCTCTCTCGCGGGCACTCGAATGTAACGATACATTTTAATCTATTCGTTATATTCTGGCCATCCCGTACACGCGGTGAGTGAAAAAAATTAATCTCACGGCTATTTAATTATACGCGATACATTCATACATATACAGGAGGCAATCGTAC